CCGAGCCAGGTTACGTGCACCGAATTTTGGCCTTTTCGGTTGCCACCGAATTGCCTTCTACCGAATTCGGTAAGGGTCTGTTCGGGACGCTACGCGACCCGCGAAACCTTCGCGTAACACCTGGTTACGGGGCCTTGTGTCGAGCCTATATATAGCCTCGTGTTGTACCCAGGTGATAATTCAATTCAATTCAATTCAATTCGATTCTCTTTTCTGAGCTCGATCCTAGATCCTCACAGTCATCGTGGTTGCTGGACAGCGGATGCAGCCAGCACATGACTTCGGACAAGCGCTGGTTTGAAGAGTTAAAGGAGGTGGTCGAAGCTGTTAATGTGGAGCTCGCTGATGGGAGCCAGCTGAGGAGCAAGATGACAGGAACGATCAGAGCAACGGCACCTGATGGGACAACAATTCGCTACTCTGACGTCCTCTACGTACCTGGCTTGAAGAGCAACCTGCTCTCCTATTGTCAGCTGCTGAAAAAGGGAGCGCGCATTAATACCATTGCGAATGGAGACACCGAGATCACCATGACTGATGGAGAGAAGTACGTGCGGATTGGACTTGCCAAGAACGCGGATGGAGTGCCCGTGGTGCAGTATGAGCATGCACTTACGTCCGCCTATGATCCTGGTCAATCCCGTGATGATGCGTCATCAAAGAAGCATGGTTGTTAGAAGGTTACACCTTTTGTGCACACCAGGAGTGCACTTGGATACAGGGGTAGCCAATATGGGGTACCGCCCACTTTAGGGTTTCATATTTGCACCCAACTCCTTCATAGTTCAATCATTCCTGCTGCTAGATTCTAACATGGTATCAGAGCACTAGGTCCGTAGGACCGTTTTTTTGGGCCCTCCTACCATTCCGGTTACCGCGCTACCCCACGTGTTGTCCTGCGCCTGCCTGCCTTGCCTCGTGACGTGCTGTGCTGCGCGCGCCGTCCTGCAGCCCTCGCGCTACCTCCTACTGCCCTAGGCCAGTACGCCGACCCTGCAGGCTAGTAAGGCCCACGAGCCACCCCTAAAGGCCCGTCAGCCCCCCGAGCCGCCCTTGCAGGCCCGCCAGGCCCCCGAGCCGCCCCTGCAGGCCCGCCAAGACTGCGAGCCGCCTCTGCAGGCCTCATAGGCCGGCGCGCTACCCCTGCAGGCCCTTGCCGCCCGGGCGCCGCTCTTGCAGGCCTTCGCCGCCCGCGCGCAGCCTCTGCCCGACCGCGCGCTGCCCCTGTAGGCCCTCGCCGCTCGCGCACAGCCTCTGAAGGCCCGTCAGGCCAGAGCGCGGCCTCGTCAGGTCGCTGTCGCGGCCCCGTCAGGCCGCGGTCGCGGCCCCACCTTTCTGCTGACGCGGCCCCATCTTGCCGCGGTCGAGGCCCCGCCCTGCTGCCGACGCGGCCTTGCCAAATCGCTGTCGCGGATCCGTCAGGCACCGATCGCGGCCCGCCATACTGCCGGCGCGGCCCCGCCCTGCTTCTGACGTGGCCCCGCCAACCCTACAGCTGACGCGACCGCGCCCTACTGCTGACGCAGCCTAGCCAGCCCTGCAGCTGACGGAGCCGCGCTCTGACGCCGACGCGGCCCCGCCAGCCCTGCAGTTGACGCGGCCCTGACTTGCTGTTGGCGCGACCCTGCCCTGCAGTTGCCGCGGTCGCGCCCTGCCACCGATCGCGGCCCCGCCTGGACGCTGACGCGGCTCCGCAAGCCCTGCAGCTGACACGGCCCTGACTTGCCGCTCACGCGGCTCTGACCTGCCGCTAACGCGTGACGAGAAATGAGAATGGATGAATGAACTATGAAACAGTTGGGTACAAGTACTAACCCTAATTGGGTTGTACCCCTTATGGGCTACCCTACTACAACCTAAACAAATGTATAAGCTATAATGTTCTGACACACCCCCATAGGCAAAGTGGGGGAGAACAAGCGGTCACAAGACCAGTCAAGCAAAGCACAGCAAGCTCAGGGTGGATCACAAAGTCCCCACACAGTCCGAGCACAAGAGTAAGGCCACACGGCCAGTTCACATGCAAGATCATATCTATAAAGGTAAACAAGCAAGTGCAGGTACAGAAAGAGGACAGTACAAACAAGATCAAGAAGTGAGCAAGTGAGGCCAGGTAGGCACAAGACCTAGCAAAGTACAGAAGCGCTGATGATCACAAGGCGGAAGGGCCTTGGTGAAGATATCAGCAGTGTTGGCCTCAGAGGCCACGTAGGTGAGGCGGAGCTGACCACGCTGCTGCAGCTTACGAGCCAAGAAGTAGCGGAGAGCAATGTGCTTCGTTTTGTGCTCCAGTCTGTGCTCCCGACACAAGGCCAGCATGGCCTTGTTCGCTACGTACACAACTGGAGGAGAACGAGGCGGCTCTCCTAGGTCAGTCAGCACGTAGGTGAGCCAGCGTAGCTCTTGTGCAGCCATGGCCCCTGCATAGATCTCAGCCTCACAACTGGAGCTGAGAATAGAAGACGAGCGGGTAGACCGCCACAAAGTAGAGCCGGAGCAACGGCTGAAGGGGTAACCCTATGACGACCGCTGCAGAGCCTGGTCGTCAGCCCAAGAAGCGTCACCGTTACCTATGAGGACTACTCGACGTCGCCCTCCAAGCACTAGCCCTATGCCTGACGTACTGTACACATAGCGCAACACCCTCTTCGCTGCAGCCATGTGCTCTGGTCTGTGTCTCCCAGGAGCAACATAGCGTGCCAAGATGCTAAGAGGGTATGCAAGGTCAGGTCGTGTGCAGGTCATCAGGTACATGAGGCAGCCAACAAGCTCTGGGTACGGACCACTCAACTCTACGGACTCATCCGAAGGCAGAGCTGGGAGCGAGTGGCGAGTAGAAAGAGGAGTGGCCTGAGGCGAGGAGTACGTAAAGCCGAAGCGCTGAAGGACCTGCTGCACCATGTGTGACTGAGTCAAGGTAATGGTGCGCTGTGCTCTGTCCCGGGTCATCTGCAAGCCAAGGTAGCTGCGCAGTTCACCCAGGTCTGTGCACGTGTGTCTCTTCTGCAGCTCCGACTTCACGTGGGCGAGTCCAGCAGTGTCAGCAGTGGCAAAGACCAAGTCGTCGACGTACATGAGGATGTAGAACGGCGGCAGAGAGGTGTCGGTGCCCAGAAACAGCGACGGGTCGGCTGTAGAAGGAGCAAACCCAAGAGCCGCAAGTGTAGTCCTCAGTGTGTCGTGCCACTCACGCGGCGCCTGGTGGAGACCGTAGACTGGCTGTCGGAGACTCCACTGGGTACTAGGAGGAAACGAACCAGTGAAGACAGGAGGGCGGCGCAGCCAGATCTCCTCGTGCAGGCTGCCCTGCAGGAAAGCTGTGCTGAAGTCAAGAGAGTGAAGCTCGTAGTTGCGCTGAGCAGCTATGTGCAGCAGCACCCGAAGAGTGGTCATCTTCGGGGTGGGAGAGAAGTTCTGAAAGTAGTCAACTCCCTGCCGCTGACTGAAGCCTCGAGCCACGTAACGCACCTTGAAGACAGGCGGAGAACCCGGCGGCCGCTTTACCTTGAAAATCCACATGCCACTGACGATGTTCGCCCCAGGTGGGGGAACCTCGTCAACGTAGGTGCCTATGGACTTCCAGGAAGCCATCTTTGTGTCCATGGCCGACTGCCACTAAGAGGAGTAGGGACCCTCGATCGCCTCAGCGTACGATCGAGGAATCGGGATGTCTGGTGCATCCGGGTCTCCCTCAGGGGCAATCAACCTGGACACGAGATGGGGCAAAGCAGTAGCAAAGCACTGGAACTCCTCTTGCAGGTCCTCAAGGATGTCCGTGCTAAGAGCACACTCACCCCCGACGGACGGAGGACATACAGACTCAGACTCAGCAACGAGACTAGTAGCGTAGTCTAGACGACAACGAGCAGCGAAGTCGACAAGCTCAGCAACTAGGGCAGACGAAGTAGTGGACTCAGAGGAAGGGTTAGTGACAACAGTAGCCAAGAGACGCGTGATAGAAGGACTAACAGCACGAAGAGATTCAGACTCCGGGTCAGTAAGAGAAGGAAGAGAGGACTATGGAGGAGACGGCAACGGGACATGCAGAGGAGCAGTGGAAGGACGCAGTGCCATCTGGTGTGTACAGGGGACCGCAGGAGGACGCGGACACGCATCACGACGACTAGTGCGAGCAGCACAAACAGGCGATGCAGGACGAGACGCAGGCTCACGACGCTCAGCAAGACCTCCAGTAGGACCAGTGTAGGGAGAAGGAGCAGGTAGAGGGGAGGCGGGCTTTAATTGTGACTGGGACTAGACAGGCTGTGTACACTCCAAGGGAGGAGCAGGACCAGTAGAGGGCGGGAGACCAAGAACCTGCTCCAGGAGCGGAACGAAGTACCGCCTCGGCCGCTCAGCGCCTCTAGAACCAGCAAGGCGGCACCAGTGCCCCCACCGGCAGCACGAGCGCCAGCAGCACCTCCAGCTCCAACAGCGCCAACTCCAGCACCCTTAGAAGCACCAGCGCCAGCAACACCGCCAGTGCCAACACCCCCAGCAGCTCTAGCTCCAGCAGCACCAACTGTAGTAGGACCGTCAGCACCAGCAGCCTCACCAGCACCCCCATACGCACCAGCACCAGTAGAAACACCAGCGCCAACACCCCCAGCAGCTCCACCTCCAGCAGCACCACTATCGACAGCAGCTCCTGCAGGACCAACTCCAGTAGCTCCAGCAGCACCCCCAGACTCAGAAACACGTCTCCAGCGGCGGGCGAACCACTCGCGCAGCTCCTGTGGAGAGAGCGGCTCCCGACTCGACGAAGCACCGGCGGCGGCCACACGAGCAGACCCAGCACCCCCAGGCTCCACACCCCCAGGCTCAGCACCTCCAGGCTCAGCAACCCCAGGCTCAGCACCCCCAGACTCAGCACCCCCAGGCTCAGCACCCTCAGTCTCAGCACCCCCAGACTCAGCACCCCTAAACCCGGCACCCGCAGGCTCAGCACCTCTAGCAGCACCTGAGTCAACAGCTACCTCGATAGGCTTGACTTCGTCTACCTAGGACACACCTGACGGGGCAGGACCCTGAGGGGGGAGGGGGTCTACCGGGGGAGGACCTAGCGCAAGGAAGAGCAGCGGCGGGGGGAGGGGCGCAGTGCGGTAGGGGAAGAGACGGTAGTAAGGCACCGATTCTTCAAAGGTGACGTCCTAGGAGGACAGAACACGGCGCGAAGTGGGGTGGTAAAACTGCCACCCAGGCGCGTCAGGGGGGAAGCCAAGGAAGACGCAGGGAACACCACGGGGGGATAGCTTGTGTGCAGACAAAGGAGCACGGAACAGCACGGGGGTGACCAAGGCGGTGGTGCCAAAGGAGAGTGTGGTGGTACAGCAGAGGACACAAGTAGGGAGTAGACTCATGACCGGACCTGGACGCCGCAGCAAACACCTGACTCGACGCAGCTACCTGGGCAGACTCAGCAGTAGGAGGAGACTCAGAAGTAAGGGTGTATAGGCTTGACCGTGGCTGACGGGTGAACGTCGCCAAGCGTCGGCCTATCCGAGCACAAGTGCAGTGGGTCATTCTTTGACTCGCAGGAGTGAACTGGTCAACCCCCCTATCCTGTAGGCCCGCTCCACTCACCAAGTTCGTAGAGGACGAGGGGAGGCAGAGACCAGACGGGGTGCCAGAGGGGGCTGTCGGGCACGGTAGGACAGTGGAGAAGCTAGCAAGAACAAGACCCCCAGAGGGGTCTGCAAGGGAGACTGCAACCGGCCGACTGAGCGGCGTAAGAGTGGTGCGGTCTCGAAAGAAGGAGCGGGCCGCACCCGAGTCCGGGGTGAAGGTGTAGAAGGCCTGAGCTGACGCTGTACCTGAGAGAGCAGACACACCGGCACCTAGGGCAGCAGACGCACTGGCACCTAGGGCAGCAGACGCACTAGCACCTAGAGCAGCAGCCTCACCGGCACCTAGAGCAGCGGCGTCAATGCCCGCGTCAGGCGGTACACACAGGTAACAGGCACCCTCAACACTAGCATCAACAACATACATAGCAGCAAGAATAGCATCAAAGTCAAGATCAAAGATAGCAACCCCGGCGTTAGTCAGATCTCCCCAGCGAGGGATCTCTGACGCCTTAGGGAGATGGCGACGCCACGCGTCTGTCAGGCGACCAAAGCAGCGCTGGGTGGAGTGCGGGCCTCTGCACTGCTCACCAGCGCGATCGCAGGTACGGAGGACGTAAGCGCAGGGACCAAAACCCCCACCGCGCTGACGCGCAGTGTACCACTCACGAAGCTGCTGAGGGGACAGGGTCACACCACTCCGCTGCTGCTGCTGGCGCTGACCACCACCGGCGCCACTCCTCTGCACAGAGTCGCGACCCGCTCCAGCACCGCTGCCTCCGCCGCTGCCACCGCCTCCGCCGCCTCCTCCACCTCCGCCTCCTCCACTACCTCCGCCGCCTCCGCTCCCTCCGCCACCTCCACCGCCTCCGCCGCCTCCACTGCTGCCGCCGCCGCCGCCACCCCCAGCACCACTCCCACCACCACCCCCACTCCCTCCACTGCCTCCAGCCCCTCTTGCGCCCTTGCCCCTCTTGCCCTTGCCGGTGCGGCGTCTCCCGCTTGGGGCAGACGCAGCGCCGACCAATTCGAAACCAACGAGGTCGGCCGCAGCAGCAGAGGCAACAGAGGGCAAGAGGGGGGAGGGAGAACACCCCTCAAAGATGGGGGTGCGAGTGTCACCACGAGAGGCTCCTACAGCGACTATGCTCTTCTCTATCGCTAGGAGGGCCTTCTCGAGGAGGTCAACGGTGAGAGTGGTGGGGCAAACTGAGAGGAAGTGGTCCCTGACTACGCGGAGAGAGTCAGGGAGCCGGGTGACTATGTAGTAGAGGGTTATGTACATCGGGGGGGGGTTCTTGGGGCAGAACTCAGCAGGAAGCACAGCGCAATAGCGAGTGTCACTAGTGCGGAGGTGCGTAATGAGGTCAGCGACTGTGGGAAAGGCAACAAGGCCAGGGAAGAGGTACGGTAGCATGAGGCGGCTCAGTGCAGCAGTGGCAGGGGAAGAGTAGCGTGCAACTACAGCGTGGTACAAGGTCTGAGCACTCTTGTACTGGCTAAAGTGCGCACGCTCAGTGGTCAGCATTCCCTTTTCTGAGCTTGATCCTAAATCCTCACACTCACGTCCTCTGATGCACCGGTATCGTGCAACTGGTTGCTGCTGATGAATGGCACCATCTGAGCAAAGAATGGAGAACATACATGGGAGCACACATTACTGCATACCTGGTGCCCACATTTCTGCATACGTGGTGTGCACATCTTTGCCAACTTGGTGTGCACTACATACTTGGAGTGGACATTTCTGCATACATGGAGTGCATGTTTTCGGGATAATTGGAGTGCGTCGGCATGTGCAACTCTTCTACTAATGGAGTTCGGCAACTCCGGCTGCTACCGTAAGTCGGCTGTAGTGTATGGGGAGCATCACAAGAAAACATGGGTGAAGTCAGAGCGGACTTGGCATCATCCTTTGGTGTGGCTTAAGGACTTGGATAGCCGTGTGCTATCATAGCATGACGCAAGGGAGGAAGGCCTACGAAGATGTAGCAGGCACGGACAGGAAAATGATGTAGTAGACGCGCAGCAGATCGACATCTGCTGATGAACGACAGGTCGTCGCTTCTATCGCGCGAAGTGTGCGCCCGCTAATGTAGCTCCACGCCAGCCGCACGCCACGCGTTATCCGCTACCAATTCGCGTCATCCGCAGTCGTCGCAAGCGTGCATCTGTGGCGGTTTCACGTTGACGGACAGCAGGTGTGCGATAAAGTCACCAGGAGTGCCAATCGCGTGTCGTAAAGTCTACGGCTGCAGGCTCGACGGCGACAGTAGGGCCGCTACGGCGGCAGCAGGGCCGCTACGGCGGCAGCAGGGGCGACGGCTGCTGCTGCAGGGCAGGGGGCCGCGACAGCGGCGGTAGGGCAGGGTCCGCGACAGCCGTTGCAGGGGAAGGGGCGGCGACGTGAGGCGGCAGGTCAGGGGCCGCGATGGAGGCGACAGGTCAGGGGCCGCGACAGCGGCGGCAGGTCAGGGCCGCGACGACGAGCAGGCGGGCCGCGGTGACGGGGCGGGCAGGCCGTGAAGGGCCGCGAAGGGCTACAAAGAGCGGCAGGGCAGACCGCGTAAGGTCGGCAGGGCGGCGACGGGCCGGTAAGGGCGACTGGGCGGGCCGCAAGGGCCTGCGACGGCAGGGCGGGCCGCGACGGCAGGGGCAGGCCGCTAGGGGCCGCGACGGCAGGGCGAGCCGCTAAGGGCCGCGACAGCAGAGCGGGCCGCAAAGAGCGCGACGGTCCTAAGGGCAGAGCGCGATGCGCGCTTCGGGCAGGGCAGGATTTTCTTTTTTCGAAGTGGTGGGCCCTAAGGAAAAAACGGTCCCACTAGGGAACCCGCTCTATACCATGTGAGAACAATAGTGAGAAATCAAATCAACTAGGAAGCAGGTGGGTACAAATATGTAAACCTAAAGAGTTGTGCCCCATATTGTCAACCCCACTACAGCCTACAATATGGTTCTGACATCACACGCCCCACCGCCTAGCTCCACACCATCCTACTCACCCAAAACAACCCACTGCTAACAGGCCTATTCACCCACGGATATAGTACAGACCCATTTTTCACGACTAGAAATTCATAGTAACGGGCAAAAGCAAAAGGAGTCTATTACGTAAAAACAGGCACCAACTGCATCTGGGTACTCACGTACTCACTATTGAGGGAACTGTTACTGCAGGAGGCACACGACGGGATTACCTCGGGACACTTCGGGGTAGAAAAAACGCGACAGCAACTGCAGCGGTATTGTTACTGGCCGGAGCTGTTGACCGACGTACACCACCACGTGTGCTTGTATACTATGTGTCAGGTTATGAAGAGCTCGCGAAAAAGAAAGGCGGGTCAGTTGCAGCCGATTCCATCGCCTAAGCGCGCCTGGCAGCAGGTTACCATGGATTTCGTCACAGGGTTACCTTCGAACCCTGGGGGTAACGACGCAGTTATGGTCGCCATTGACAGGCTGACAAAGATGGCACACTTTGCTGCGTGCAAGAAATCGATCTCAGCCAAAGAAACCGCTCGCCTGTTCATCGCAACCGTCGTTCGACTACACGAGGTACCAGCCGCGATCATCAGCGACCGCAACATGAAGTTCACCAGCAATTTCTGGAAGAACCTCTGGGAGCAGTTCGGGACCAGGCTACAGTTCAGCTCATCGTACCACCCTGAGACCGATGGTCAAACGGAGCGGATGAATCAGACGATGGAGCAGTTGATTCGTGCCACGTGCGACGATCCGACAACTTGGGAGCAGCAGCTGCCGCTGATTGAGTTCGTGTACAACAACGTCATGTCAGCGATAACACAGCACTCCCCGTGCATATGACGCCGAGTCTGGACAACCCAACGACACGTGTACAGCAATTCGCCAAAATTCTGCAGGCTGCCCGCACCAGAGCCGCTGAAGCAATTGAAAAGGCAAATTATCATCGCTACACGCAACGCTGGCCGCCACCGCCGCCCAGTCACGTTCCAAGCAAGCGATTACGTACTGCTTGACACACAGAACTTAAGACTACCCATAGTACCGAAACCACGACCCCACTACTATGGATAATTCCAAATCAGCCACATGATTACCCCACTGACAACCCACCTACTGTTGCCGATAGACTGGTACATCAGCCCTTCATTCCACGTCAGCCTACTTCGCCCGTACATCCCAGCCACAAGCCAATTGCCTCGTCACTGCCAAACTTATATGCTATAGTCTATGTAGGCTGTAGTGGGGTAGATAATATGGGGTACAACACTATTAAGTTTCCTACTTGTACCCAAGTGTTTCCTAGTCAATTCATTCCTCGCTACTCTTCTCACATGGTATAGAGCAGGTTCCCTAGTGGGATCGTTTTTTTTAGGGCCCACCACTTTTTTTTTTCTTTGCCCTGCCCAAAGCGCACATCGCGCTCTGCCCTACTACTGCCAAAGCGGCCCTACCCTTTAGGCCCGTCACGCTCTTAGCGGCCCGCCCTGCCGTCGCGGCCCTTAGCAGCCCGTCCTGTCGCCCTTAGCGGCCCGCCCTGCCGCCCTTAACGGCCCGTCGCCGCCCTACCGCCCTTAAGCGACCCGCCCTGCCGCCCTTAGCAGCCTGCCTGCCGTCACCGCGGCCCTCCGCGACCCGCCCGCCCCGTCGTCGCGGCCCTGCGTGGCCCGCCCGCCCGCCGTCGCCGGCCTCCACGGCCCGCCCACCTCGTCATCGCGGCCCTCCCCTACCCTGCCGCGGCCCTGCACTGCAGCAGCCGCCCGGTTCCCGCTCGGCCCCTGCCCTGCCTAACGCGGCCCTGCACCTGCAGCCGTGTCGCGGCTCCTACCCCACCGGCGCGCCACGGCCGTGCCCCACCAGTTGCGGCCCTTCCACCCCTCCCGCTACTTCTACTGCTGCTGCTGCTAGCACTACTGCTGCTGCTGCTAGCACTACTACTGCTATTCCTGCTGTCATGGCTACCACGAATGTACTTACCTTCGATGCTGAGGGTCGAGCGGTTAACCTCGAGGTCTGGGTTGATGATCTGCAGCTGTTTCTGCAGTGCGAATCTTGGGACGGAGTCTCAGTGTTCGATCACACGTCCGGCATCTCTGTTGCACCTACTGCCGATGCTGACACTGCTGTTCGCTCGTAGTGGACCACGCGTGATGCTGTTGCCCGTCTTACTGTTCGTAGTCACATGCCGTCTGCTGAGCACGCGCACTTTAGCCACTACAAGACTGCTAGGACTCTGTATGACGTTGTTGTTGCGCGCTAATCCTCCCCTGCCACTGCTGCCCTTAGCTGCCTCATGCTGCCGTACCTCTTCCGTAACCTAGCTGCTTTTACCACAGTTGCTGACCTCATTACGCACCTTCGCACTAGTGACACCCGCTACCGCGCTGCACTTCCTGCCGAGTTCTGCGCCGCGAACCCCCCCCCTATGTACATCACTCTCTACTACCTCGTCACCCGGCTCCTTGACTCCCTTCGCTCAGTCAGGGACCACTTCCTCTCCCTTTGCCCCACCACACTCACCGTTGACCTCCTCGAGGAGCGCCTCCTTGCAGCTGAGAAGAGTATAGTCGCTGTAGGAGCCTCTCGTGGTGACCCTCGTGCCCCTTTCTTTGAGGGGTGCTCCCCTGTCCCCCTTTTGCCCTCTGTTGCCTCTGCTGCTGATGTCGACCTCGTTGGCATTGAGTCGGTCGACACTGCATCTACTCCTAGTGGGAGGCGCCGCAGCGGCAGGAGCAAGGGGGGCAAGGGTGCTGGAGGAGACGGCGGGGGCGGTGGTGGTGGCGGTGGAGGCGGCGAAGGGGGTGGGGGTGGAGGTGGGGGTGGTGGCGGGGGTGGGGGCTTCGATGGCGGTGGTGGCAGCGGGGGCGGCGCCGACAGCGGCAGTGGGGGTGGCGACGGCAGTAGCGGCAGTGGGGGTGGCGGCAGCGGTGGTTCTGGTCGGGGTGGGGCTGTGCACCGAAGAGGCTTTGGTGGAGGCCAGCACCAGCAGCAGCAGCGTCCTCGTGAGACCCTGTCGCCCCAGCAGCTTTGTGAGTGGTACGCTGGGCGTGGGAGGTCTAGGGGTGCTGGTCCCTGCGCTTCCGTTCTCCGCACCGGTGAGCGCAGTGGGGAGACGTGCGTAGGCCCGCACGCCACGCAGCGCTGTTTCGACAACCTGATTGATGCCTGGCTTGCACAGTTTCCTAACGCCACTGAGCTCCCTCACTGGGGTGATCTCCTTAAGCCTGGTGTTGCTATCTTTGATCTAGACTTTGATGCTATCCTTGCTGCTATGCATGCTATGACTATTAGTGCTGAGGGTGACTGTTACCTGTGTGTTCCGCCCGACCCGGGCATAGAGGTTGCTGCTCCAGGTGCTAGTGAGGCTGCTGCTCCAGGTGCTGGTGAGTCCGCTCTCTCAGGTATCGCGTCGGCACAGGTCTTGCACACTTTCACCTTTGACTTGAGTGCTTCCCGTTCCTTCATTCGCGACTGCACCACACTCACGCCACTCAGGCGGCCAGTGGCAGTCTCCCTGGCTGACCCCTCCACGGTCTTACGTCGAGGGGCGGCAGCGCGCCGCTCCTCACTCCTCCGAGTTCCCACCGACGGAGGCTCCCCTGTAGACTCTTCACATGGATATGTGGGGCCCCGCCCGCGTCTGTGGACAGGGTCACGAGCGCTACTTTCTGCTGGTTGTTGACGACTACTAACGTTACACCACAGTCTTCCCCTTGCGCTGCAAGGATTACGTCACTGAGGTGCTGATCAACTGGATCCACGCTGCTCGTCGTCGGCTCAGCGAGAGTTTTGGCTCAGACCTTCCTGTTCTGCGTCTGCACTCTGACAGAGGTGGATATTTTTCCTCCGACCTTCTTCTGTCATGCGGAAGGCATCCGCCAGACGTTCATGCTTCCGGCCTCTCCACAAAAAAATGGGATTGCTAAGCGCCGCATTGGCATGGTCATGGACGTCGCTCGTACGTCCATGATCCATGCGGCTGCTCCCCATTTTCTGTGACCATTCGCGGTTCAGTACGCGGCGCATCGGATCAACCTCCAGCCCCGGGTCTCCATGTCGGAGACCACATCTACTCTGCGGTGGACGGGGAAGGTTGGCGATGCGTCTGCGTTTCGTGTCTGGGGATCTCGGGCTTTTGTCCGCGACTTGTCTGCGGATAAGCTGTCCTCCCGTGCTGTTCCCTGCGTCTTCCTTGGCTTCCCCCCTGACGCGCCTGGTTGGCAGTTTCACCACCCCACCTCGCGCCGTGTTGAGTCCTCTCAGGACGTCACGTTTGACGAGTCGGTTCCTTACTACCGTCTCTTCCCCTACTACACTGCCCCCCTCCCCCCCCCCCCTCTCTTCCTCGCGCCAGGTCCTCCCCCGGTAGACCCCCTCCCCCCTCTGGGTCCTGCCCCCTCAGGTGTGTCTCAGGTAGACGCAGTCGAGCCTGTCAAGGTAGCTGTTGACTCTGGTGCTGCTAGGGGTGCTGAGCCTGCAGGTGTCGGGTCTGGGGGTGCTGAGCCTGAGCGTGCGGAGCATAGGGGTGTTGAGCCTGGGGCTGCTCAGCCTGGGGGTGCTGAACTTGGGGTTGCTGAGTCTGGGGGTGTGGAGCTCGAGGGTGCTCAGCCTGCGCGTGTGGAGTCTGGAGGTGCTGCGCCTGGAGGTCCTTCCGGTGCTTCGTCCTGGCGGGAGCCACTCTCTCCACAGCAGCTGTGCAAGTGGTTTGCTCAGCGCTAGAGCCGTGCTGCTGGAGCTGGTGGTGCTACAGGGGCTGGAGGTCCTACTGCTGCTGGAGCTGCTGGGGGTTCTGGAGCCACAGGTCCCGGAGGTGCTCGTACTGGAGCTGCTGGGCCTGGTGTTGCTGGTGGGGCTGGAGCTACAGGAGGTGCTAGCCCTGGCGCTACTAGAGCTGCTGGGACTGCTGGAGGTCCTGCTGGAGCTGGAGCTACCGGAGGTGCTTGAGCTGGAGGCGCTACTGGAGCTGGTACTCCATAAGGTGCTGGTGTTGGCGCTATTGGAGCTGCTGGAGGTGCTGCTGGTGCTGGTGGTGCTGCTGGAGTTGGAGCTGACACTGGGGGTGCTGGTACTGTTCCTGCTTGTTCTGGAGGTGCTGCGCGGCCGCGACCGTACTTCGTTCTGCTCCTTCAGCAGGTTCTTGGTCGCCTGCATTCTACTGGTCTTGCTCCTTCCTTAGAGTGTCCACAGCCTGTCCAGTCCCAGTCTTAGTTACAACCTGCCTCCCTACTGCCTGCTCCTTCTCCTTACACTGGTCCGACAGGAGGTCTTATGGAGCGTCGTGGGCTTGAGTCTCGTCCTGCGTCGCCTGTACGTGTTGCTCACACTAGTCGTCGTGGTTCGCGTCAGCGTCCTCCTCTTGTTCCTGGCACGCACCAGATGGCTCTGCGTCCTTCTACTACTCCGCAGCGTGTCCCTTTGCCGTCTCCTCCTGTGTCTTCTCTTCCTGCCCTGGCTGACCCGGAGTCAGACTCCCTTCGTGCTTCTGGTCCTACTGTCACGCATCTCCTGGCCAGTGTTGTCACTAACCCTTCCTTTGAGTCTACTGCTGCGTTTGCTCTTGTTGCTGAGCTTGTCAACTTTGCTGCTCACCATCGTCTAGACTACGCCGCTAGTCTTGTTGCTGAGTCTGTCTGTCTATCCTCCGTCCGTCGGGGGTGAGTGTGCTCTTAGCACGGACGTCCTTGAGGACAAGCAAGAGGAGTTCAAGTGCTTTGCTACTGCTTTACCTCGTCTCGTGTCCATGCTGCTTGCCCTTGAGGGAGACCCGGATGCACCAAATATCCTGACCCCGCGCTCTTACGCAGAGGCGATAGAGGGTCCCTACTCCTCTCAGTGACAGACAGCCATGGACGAAGAGATGGCTTCCTGGAAGTCCAAAGGCACCTACGCTGACGAGGTTCCCCCACCTGGGGCGAACATTGTCGATGGCATGTGGATTTTCAAGGTGAAGCGGCCGCCGGTTTCTCCATCTGTCTTCAAGGCGCGTTACGTGGCTCGAGGCTTTAGACAGCGGCAGGGAGTTGACTGCTTCCAGACCTTCTCTCCCACCCCAAAGATGACAACTCTTTGGGTACTACTGCACGTCGCTGCTCAGCGTGACTACGAGCTGCACTCTCTTGACTTCAGTACAGCCTTCCTACAGGGCAGCTTGCACGAGGAGATCTGGCTGTGCCGCCCACCTGGCTTCACTGGGTCATTTCCTCCTGGTACCCAGTGGAGCCTCCGGCAGCCAGTCTATGGTCTCTGCCAGGCGCCGCGTGAGTGGCACGACACAATGAGGGCTACGCTTGTGGCTCTTGGGGTTGCTCCTTCCACTGCTGACCCGTCACTGTTTCTCTGCACGGACACTACTCTGCCGCCGTTCTACATCCTCGTGTACGTCAATGACTTGGTCTTTGCTACTGCTGACACTGCTGGACTTGCCCACGTGAAGTCCGAGCTGCAGAAGAGACACACGTGCACAGACCTGGGTGAACTGCGTAGCTATCTTGGCTTGTAGATCACCCGGGACAGAGCACGGCGCACCATTACCTTGACTCAGTCACACATGGTGCAGCAAGTCCTTCAGCACTTCCACTTCACGTACTCCTCGCCTAAGGCCACTCCTCTGTCTACTCGCCACTCACTCTCAGCTCTGCCTTCGGATGAGTCTGTAGAGCCGTGTGGCCCGTACCCAGAGCTTGTTGGCTGCCTCATGTACCTGATGACCTGCTCTCGACCTGACCTTGCATACCCTCTTAGCATTCTTCCACGCTATGTTGCTCCTGGGAGACACCGACCAGAGCACATGGATGCAGCTAAGAGGGTGTTGCGCTACTTGTGCAGTAGGTCGGGCATGGGGCTTGTGCTTGTAGGACAAGCTCGAGTTTTTCTTACTGGTCACGCAGATGCTTCTTGGGTTGACAACTTGGCTACGCAGTGGTCGTCACAGGGTTACACCTTCATCATTGGTTCTGGCTCGGTTTTGTGGCGGTCGCTCGTCTTCTGTTCTCAGCTCCAGTTGTGAGGCTGAGATCTACGCCGGGGCCATGGCTGCACAGGAGTTACGCTGGCTCACCTACCTGCTGACTGACGTAGGAGAGTCGCCTTGTTCTGCTCCTGTTCTATACGTCAACAACAAGGCAATGCTTGCCTTGTGTCAGGAGCACAGAATGGAGCACAGAACAAAGCACATTTCTGTGTGCTACTTCCTTGCTCAAAAGTTGCAGCAGCGGGGTCAGCTTCGTCTTGCTTGAGTAGCCACTCGGGCCAACACTACTGATATCTTTACCAAGGCACTTCAGCCTTGTGATTATCAGCGCTTTTGTACTATGCTAGGTATTGTGCCTACTTGGCCTCACTTGCTCACTTCTTGACCTTGCTTGTATTGTGATTGATATATTCTTGCACTTGCATGCTTACCCTTGCTAGGTTGAGATCACTGTCTTGCTTGTTCACCTTGATATATAACTCTGCGTGTGAACTGGCCTTATGGCCTTGTGCTTATGCTCTGAATGCGTGCTGACGTTGTGATCCACCATGAGCTTGCTTTGCTGGTCTTGTGACCTCTTGTTCTCCCCCACTTTGCCTATGGGGGTGTGTCAAACTTATATGCTATTGTGTATGTAGGCTGTAGTGGAGTAGACAATATGGGGTACAACACTTCGAGGTTTCCTACTTGTACCCACCTGTTTCCTAGTCAATTCATTCCTCGCTATTCTTTTCACAGTCACCGCCCGCCATCCATGACTCGCCCTGCATCGGAGCCGATCATCAAGCCCGACAAAATCATAAGCCATCAGGTTCGACACCCCAAAGGAATCAGGAGGATTGAGTTCCTCTTTCACTGGAAGGACCGCACTCCAACCGAGGATAGCTGGGTGCCCCTGGCCAACATAAAAAACCACCTTGCCCTGGAAGTGTACCTGAGGAGCCGGGGTTTCCGCGATATACACGTACTCGCGTAGCGGAGGGAGCTTCTTGAGGGGGGGGGGGGGGGGGGGGGGGGGGGTGTGGGGGTAGTGTAAGATTTTTTCTCGACATTCCTTAGCGCGCCCTGCAACATTGCGTACAGCAGCTGCCGATGTTCGCCCGTTACAGCTAACGGAGCTTCGCCGCCTTCGCGCGCATTGTTTCAGGAAACCTCGCTCTACTGGCCCTGTCAGAATGTTATCTTATGCTCTAGCCTGTAGTGGGGTGCTCTATAGCGAGTACAACCCTTCTAGGGTTTGCTATTTGTATCCCCATTCTTGCTAGTGCAACCCTCTTCTTTCTTCTAAACTTTCACAGGCCCGGCTGTGTCGGCCTACGCTTCGGGACTAGCCCGAGCCTCGCTGCCAGCGTAGCACTAGCTCGCTCGCACGCACCACGTTACCGTTTGCATATTTCGCGTATAAGGTCGTATCCCTGCCTAGTGTCAAGAAGTTGGTGTCAAGAAGTTTGCGCATCAGATTGGTCCAAAGAAAACGTCCGGCCAATGCGATTGGTCAAGCGTTTTTTTTAACCAATCGCGTGCGCAATTTTCTTGACAATATCTTCTTGACACTAGGTAGGGATACGACCTAAATGTTCGCTCACATTTTGTACTCGTTTGACACTTCGTGCAATCCTCGCTACCTCGATTCATTGCACCCGTACGGTGGCGCCAAACTGGCAGCGCCGAAACTGTACGGTGCTTTACGAGCGACGCGGCCCACTCCTGTACAGCGTTGCTGCTTATTCCTAGGCGCGCTAGCCTTTTTGTTGCGCCTCGCTCCGCGCCACGCTTTCAAACCCCCTTCCGGGCCTTCCTCCGAGGTCCGGGTCTGGTCCAGCTCGAGATCGCAGACCGTTAGGGCGCATGATTTGAGATCACTTCATTTCGATGGAATGCGATGCTATATGTGACAGAGCGGCTTATTTTTTATTTTTGCCTTTGGGTGGGTCTGGAGCAAAATTGAACTTCATAGGACACACGCTTACACGAGCATTCATGTGTGCCGTGTCGCGCATACAGATTTCTTTTCTCCTCTGGCCAAAGTACGCAACGCAAGGATTCAAGCTGGTCACACATACTGGTACATCAGCCGTGTTCTGTCAAACTCATATGCTATAGTCTGTGTAGGCTGTAGTGGGGTAGACAATATGGGGAACAACACTTCTAGGTTTTCCTACTTGTACCCATCTGCTTGCTAGTTCATTCATTCCTCATTTCTTCACATGGTATAGAGCAGGTTCCCTAGTGGGAACGCTTCCTTGGGCCCACCACTGAAACTTTTTTTCTGACCGGAGCGACAGTCGCTCCTGCTCGAGGCGCGCCTTGTGAGCTGCCCTTCTGTCGACCTCTCTTAGAGGCCCTTCTCACAGCCCCTCACGCCACCCTCAGCGGCCCCGTCGCCGCCCCTAGCGGCCCCGTAGCCGCCCTTCCAGGCCCCTCGCAGCCCCTAGCGGTCCCATCAC